AGGTATTAACAGAAAGTGAGGAAAAGAAAGGTGAAAACTAGAGAAATTTAGGCTCTCTTTGCTATGGTTTTGATTCTGAGTTGTGAGTTTTTTTATATTTATTTAGTAACTATTACTATATTTAGAAATCCAAATTTACTATAAAAAATTAAATTTGTTAAATTTAATCTAAATATGGTATTAATTACTACATATATAAAAAATAAAACCCAAACCAAACCATATTAAATGAAGCCTTAATTAATGACTTTCCACCTGAAAAATTCAAATTCTGTATTTATTTTACAGGTGTAACAGGAGAAAATGAAATTGGAAAAAAGAAATACATTTTTTTCATTACTGAGATTCTGAAGATTCATTAACTGGATTCCAGTATCTGTTGAAAAACCACATGGAATCAGCTTCAACGGCATATCCATCTTGGTTACGGTGCCAGCTATAGTAAGCATGCGTCCGGTTTTTGATGGAGAAGGTGGCATGACCAAAACTAGCTTCCCGGTAAGCAGAGTAAGCTGGTTGTGGGTCTATCATGCTGCAATGAAGAAGAAGCCGATTGACACTGCTTGAGCATTCAAGTATGAAGACTTCATATGCAAGAAGACCAATATATCAACCAAACAAACTTACCTTGTTGCCAAGCCTTCAATGTTGCCTCCATCACCAATTATTATGTATACTGGCGCAGATTGATCCTTCACAGGTACACAAAGGCCATTTACAATATTGTATGCAATGTTGGATACACGCTCCTGTAATGCATTTGCATAGGATATCAAGTAATTTAAGATCAAATCTTGGCATACACATACCATTCAATTGGAAATTCATAGAGACCATGGATTAAGAACAGTAAAAGTCCATAAATAAGTTACTAGAATACTGGCATACAACAGTCAGAGCTTGCAATTATGACTTACAGATCGCTCGTAGGCATGGACATGACCAGAAAATACCACATCAACCTTGTATTGCACAAACCATTGTTCAAACATTACTCTCATGCTTTCTCCTTCCATAAAATGGTAGTTGTAGCTATTGTACCATGGAGAATGCACAAGAACAATTAACCATGGTGTCTCAGTCCTGTTAACTTTTGGTAGCTCCTGTTCAAGCCATGTGTACTGAGGAGTGTATTTGCCTGCGGAGAAATAACAAGAAGTTATTACCAGATGGAGTTCAGTATGCATTTAAAACTGCAAGAAAATGTTTATGATGTTATCTTTACCGTAGGCTGAGTATGATGATAAGACAATGATATATGCTGAGGCTCTCTTTATTGAGTACCAAAGAGGAGCAGTACTATTTGATGCTCTGTAAGGGACATGATAACGGTGGGTGAAAGGCTTGAAAGGTTTTATTTCGCCCTGCAACAGATGTGAAATCCAACTATTGTTGATTCAGTCGTCCCAGAAATCTTTCTAACACTTGACAAACAGAGAATAGCAAAACATAGAATGACATCATCACAAACATGAACTATACTAAAAAAAATATGCAAGACAAGGCTTCCTAACAAGAAATGGAAGAGATGATTTCATGTCAAATTCAGAGGAACTACAGAAACAAGTTTGAGAAGACACGTACAATTTCTGGGGCAAAGTCCATTTCATGATTCCCTGCAGCCCATATCCAAGGTTGATAAGCAGCACTTCTCTCAGTGAACCTTCCCCATGTATCCCACCTGACATTATCGTGGTTAGGATAATTATCAGCATAAGAGAGATCCCCTACAAACAATACACTTTGACCTTTCTGGGGGTTCAACTCATAATGAGTAAGCGTCATGTTTGAATCATAACTTTGCCCCAAATCCCCTGCAAAAAATGCTCCATTCCAACATATCAGCACATCTAAACATGAGGGATGGATTAAATCAAGGCCATATGTAGTGCATCTAAACATGTACAAAAAACCACTTTAGTAAAATTAAAACGATATGTAACTCTATCAATGAATAATAGACTACTGAGTCTGAAAACACTCCTGAGAATCTAATAGAAACCTGTTGAGCAGCATGAAATTTTGGACAGAATAAACAGAAATGATTAGCGAGCTTTAACTTACCAATGACACCAAATGTGTATGGAACATCAGGGCCAACTGCAGGAGGAGTTACAAACCAGAACTTCCGCATGGTATGTCCAGCCCCAACCTCATAGTAATATTTGGTGTCAAACTGCACAATGACATTAAATTGAATTGTAGCATTACAGTAAACGTGCTGGTTACAAACGTCAAACCCCAGTAATTCATCACGAAACTGTATAGACAATGGTACAATTAAAGCAGCACCATGCCATGAATCAATTGGATAAAAAAGAATGGAAATTCACCTCCAAACTTTTTATTGTACAGTGGTGGATGTAACCGGAGTTGTAATTGTAGAACTTATAGGTATAGACTTTGCCCTCTGCCTTCTTCTTGTACTCTGTGTTCTCCTTCCAGTAAATGACTGTATTGGAACCTGGTTCATCAGGAGTCACCCATGACACAATCACAGCCTTTCCCTCATGGTCACCTTGTGTTATATGAACCTTAATTATTCAAAATACCCACAATTCAAAACATTAAAATGAACCCAAATTTGACCTCCCAAAACCCATCCCCTCTTTTCTTTCTTAAGCAGAACCATTAGAATATACACAAACATGACATGTGCTACATGGACAAAATCATCAAGATTGATCTTGCATTTTGAATAACGAAACCCACAAAGGACAGAGCACTAGAAAATGAAATGCACCAAAAAGATTGGCTTTTTTATAACTTCTATGACTAAGAAAGTAACAAAGGCCATAGGAAATAACAAGGAGAAGAGTAAAAAACAGAGACCTGTTGAGGTGCATTGTAGCCCTCGGGAGCTCCAAAGACATCGCTGTTTAGAGGCATATCCACAGTTTTCTCCATTTTCCTCACATAACTACTAGTTTTTCCCCCATTGCACAACACTGCAATATTAAAAACCAAACCCAAAACAAGAAGAGAGAAAGCTGCAAAAGAACCCATTTTTGCTCTCATGTTTCCACACTTCCCCTGACCCTAAGAAACCAGCACGGTCATTATATGAGAGTGCTCCACTTGTGAAATACGGGGAATATTCAGACTAATATGGGAATATATGTGTATATACACGCATTGCCATCTTGAAGACAATGGTTCAACGAATAAAAAGGAGAAGGAAGTTGACTTGCATCTTGGAAGTTTTTTATGATCTTTCTCATTATAGCCATGGAGACGGGCATTTTTTGACCTCTCAATAGTGTATTATGCAGACAACTGGGGCTGATGTCCGATGATGCCAAAAATATGTTAATTTGCCTTGGATTTCTTCTTAAGGATATATATATTTTGCCTTGATGATGGGCGAGAGTGTAGATAGTCTTTTATTTTTCAAACACTTTTTCACTTATTTTGAATTTAAATTTAGAATTTTAAATATAAAATATAAAATTTTAATTATTAAATTATTTCTTTATAATATATTTGAATTAAGAAAAATAAAGAAAAAAAGAGGAGGAAGTTTTAAATGCTATAATTTAATAGGTAAATTTTTTTTTCCTCCTTTTGTTCTTTTAACTTAAACATAAGATTAATCATTTGGTTCTCATAATCCAACGGTTATAAATTGATTTGTAAGGTGTATCTTTCAACTAAAAATTGAGATTTGATTCCTCTCACCTCCAAAAATTGTAATCTTGTTCAAAAAAAAAAAAAACTTAAACATAAGATCAAATTCCTAAAAAATGTTCCAATATTTAAAAATAGTTAAATCACAACACTTTCGATGAATATTTCTTAAATACTTTTTAAACTAATGTATGATGGTTAATTGTTCCACTCTCTCTCTTTGTTAAAATAATTTTTTAAGCTTTATTTTTTCAATTAAAAAAATTTAGTACAATTTATATATTCTTTATAATAACATCTTTAAAAAAGAGATAAGTAAAAGATAAAAACATTTTTTTATAATAAAATAATTAATTAAACTAAAAGAATTACAATAGTATTAAAAAGTTAGAAAGAAAATATTTGTTTATTTTAAAAAATAAAAATTAATATTAATTTTATTAATAATTTGATTTAAAATACCCATATAATATAAGAGTTAAAATTAATATTATATTTTTATTGTTTTGACATAAATTAATGTATAAAAAACATATTTAAAATATTCTTAACATGTTTCATAATAATATAGATTAAAAAAATCTTTTTTTGGTGGGAGTGGTTGGACATAAACCTTATCTCTACCAAGAGTGAAAATTGAAAGGTTTATGAAATTTTATATGTAAGTATACCAAGCATATCCTTAGATAAAATTTCTTTAAAAAATTTTAAATTGCACATTGACAAACACCCTCAAATAAATTTAATCAAACATGCATTTTTCTTGCGGGAAGAAACTGCAACCAAAAAGTAAGACTGCTAATTTATCTTTGTCAATGGGTAGGCTTGCTTGCGGC